TTGGAACACCGCAACGATGTGAGCTGTTGCCATCATTCGTCCCATTGCAGCGCATATGATTTCTCCGGTTTCTCTCCAGCAATGTCTCTCTGGCCTCCCCAACCCTAGAGGGGGAGCAAGGGCGCTGATGTCAGGGGAGGACCAAGGGCTCGACCTCTCCCTCCAGCGCTAACTGGTCTCTCCCCCGCTCTGCACAGTTACTTCTTGCTGTGCTTTGCTACTGGTTCTGCCCTGCCCTGTCCTGTCCAACTGATTGGCTCCGTGGTATCACTCCATCACTCCGTATTTCTTTCTGGTGGACACAGCAACTTGAGCTTTGTTAGCTGTGGGTAATTCCGTTTTCAAAAACAGGTTTTTTCTTTTTTTTGCCGTCTGGCTTGAATCCGCCCATCTTGGAGGAGAGCATAAATAGCGAGGCTGCTGGTCCCTCTGCACGCTTTGTCTCCTGCATCAGCTCCGACGCTTGCGTCCTCCCGGTCCGACGTCTTTGCCATGGAGCAGCACTTTCTCGCAGTCGGCAAGCCGGCTTGGGACGCCGATGACTGGGCGCCACGGCCCCAGCCTGCGTGGTTGCTGGTGTCAGAAGAGTCCCGGCCGGGGCCGCTCCCCCTGTACCCGGCACTGGGAGAGTCCGCAGACCACCGCGACGCTTACCACGGGCAACTGCTTTCCAGTCCTTGCTGGCGGCTGCCCTTCATCCATGAAGGGTACACACTCTTCAGCGGGGCGCAGAGCTCCTGGGGGGCAAGGCCAGTGCAGCCCAGTCTGGGCCCCGCGCCAGAGACGCCGGAGACCCCAGAGACCCCAGAGACCCCATGGGAACCCGCGGGAGAGCCTGAGCCAACAAAGGAAACCGGGTCCCAGCGGCTGTCCCAGGCCCAGCGGCCCAGCGCCCGAGAACGACGGCCTGTCCCGGAGAACTCTGCAGACCCGCGCTCCACTCAGCGCTGCCCCCCGCCGGCGCCAGCTGCCGGGGGCCGGCGCCCGGGGTTCTCCGGCTGCCTGCGATGGGTCCGTCGCGCTGGGTGCACCCTGAGGCGCGCGGCTGCCGGCTGCTGCGGGACCTTCTGGGACGTGAAGGAGCCCTGAGACTGCGGCGGGAGGCGAGCCACGGGGGGCCGTCCCTACAAAAGCCTCTCGGTTTCCAATAAAACTGCAAGATGTTCCTCTGGCGTCCCCTGTCAGTGATTGCCCCTTTCTCCCTGCAGCCGGGTCGCTGCCGTTGCCTCGCCCCTCCTGCCTCTGCACTTCTTTCTCTTGCTTACAGCCTTTCCCTCCCACTGTGTCTTACTGGCTCTCACTGACTGACGGCTACTTGTGCTAACTGACACCCTGACTTACAGACTTTTACTCCGGGACGGGCCGCGTTCCAGCTGCAACATGAGAGCCGGGTTGACTGCGTTCACAACTAGCCTCCTTTTAACGTATTTCCTTTGCTGGTCGGAGCTATTGACAGTGCCTTCCCGCATGCCCTTCACGGAAGGCACCATTTCCCACTGCCGCCGGTGTTGGCGTGGGTGAGCCCAGCTTAACAATGGCGTGTGCGCATCCGGTGATCAACGGAGCTTTGCACAGTGTGGGGGGTACTTTGGTGACTGAAGGCAACTTTACATACTGCCAGCACGATTTCCGTGGGTGAACAGAGATTTTGGCCCTGCGGTCCGTATATATTCAACTGATAGCAACTTTTGACACTGCCACAGGGATTTCCCTTGTACACAGCTTTGAGAGTGGCGTCTGTATCTCCCTCACTGAAGGTAACTTTACCACTGGAAAGGGGATTTCCCTGTGTGAGCAGAGCCTTTGACAGTGAGGTCCGTATTTCCTTAACTGAAGGCAACTTTGTAGACTGCAAAGGGGATGTCTGTGGGTGAACAGAGCTTTGGACAGTGCCATTCTAATTTCTTTTTCTGAAGACAAATTTATAGACTCCCTCGGGCATTTCCGTGGCTGAACAGAGCTTTTCACAGTGCGGTTTGTATTTCCTTCAGTAAAGGCAACTTTTGAAACTGCCCACGGGGATTTCCGTGCGTGAACAGAGCTTTGACACTGCTAATGCATTTGCTTGGATGAACACAGCTTCACAGTGCTGTGCATTTTCCTTTCCTGAAGGCAACTATGGATAAAGCCACGGGGATTTCCGTGGGTGAACGGAGCTGTTCACTGCAGTTTGTAATTCCTTCAGTGAAAGCAACTTTTGACACTACCAACAGTATGTCCTTGGAGGAATGGCTTTGACACTGCTGTCCACATTTTCTTTACTGAAGGCACCTTTTGACACTGCCGAGGTGATTTCCTTGGTGATCAGAGATTTTGACAGGCCCCCCAGAATTTCGTTAGCTGAAGGCAACTTTGGATACAGCCTCGGGGATTTCTGTGGGGGACCAGCACTTTGAACAGTGCTGTCCGTACTGCCTTAACTGAAGGCAACTTTTGACACTACCGCGGGGATTTCCGTGGGTGAACAGAGCTTTGGCCGGTGTGGTCCGTATATATTCAACTGATAGCAACTCCTGACATTGCCACGGGGATTTCCCTTGAACAGAGCTTCAAGAGTGGCCCCTAGTCTCCTTCACTGAAGGTAACTTTAACACTGCAAAGGGGATTTCGCTGTGTGAACAGAGCCTTTGACAGTGAGGTCCGTATTTTCTTTACTGATGGCAACTTTGGATACTGCCTCGGGGATTTCCGTGGGTGAACGGAGCTTTTCACAGTGCAGTTTGTATTTCCTTCACTGAAGGCAACTTTTGACACTACCAGCGGTATTTCCTTGGAGGAAGGGCTTTGACACTGGTGTCCACATTTTCTTTACTGAAGGCACCTTTTCACACTGCCGAGGGGATTTCCTTGGTGAACAGAGATTTTGACAGTCCCGTGCAAATGTCCTTATCTGAAGGCAACTTTGCACACAGCCACTGAGATTTCTGTGGGTGAACAGAGCTTTGGACAGTGCCGTCCCTATTTGCTTAACTGAAGGCAACTTTTAACACTGCCACCGGGACTTCCGTTGAACAGAGCTTTGACAGTGGCGTCTGTATCTCCTTCACTCAAGGTAACTTTAACTCTGCAAAGGGGATTTCCCTCTGTGAACAGAGCCTTTGACACTGAGGTCCCATTTCGTTAACTGAAGGCAACTTTGGATAAAGCCACGGGGATTTCCGTGAGTGAACAGAGCTTTTACTGCAGTTTGTATTTCCTTCACTGAAGGCACCTTTTGAAAGTGCCAGTAGGGATTTCCGTGCGATAACAGCGCTTAGACATTGCTAATGCATTTATTTGGATGAACACAGCTTCACCGTGCCGTGTTTATTCCTTTCCTGAAGGCAACTTTGGATACTGCCTCGGGGATTTCCGTGGGTGAACAGAGCTTTTGCCGGTGTGGTCCATATATATTTAACTGATAGCAACTTCTGACATTGCCACGGGGATTTCCCTTGAACAGAGCTTTGACAGAGGCCTCTCTGTCTCCCTCACTGAAGGTAACCTTAACACTGCAAAGGGGATTTCCCCGTGTGAACAGAGCCTTTGCCAGTGAGGTCCCTGTTTCCTTTCCTGAAGGCCAGTTTGGATACTGCTTCGGGGATTTCCGTGCGTGACCGGAGCTTTTCACAGTGCGGTTTGTATTTCCTTCACTGAAGGCAACTTTTGAAACTGCCAACGGGAATTTCCGTGCGTGAACACAGCTTTGACATTGCTAATGCCTTTGCTTGGAAGAACACGGATTCACTGTGCCGTGCACATTCCTTTCCTGAAGGCAACTTTGCATACTGCCACAGGGATTTCCGTGGGTGAACGGAGCTTTGACAGTGGCCTCTGTATCTCCTTCACTGAAGGTAACTTTAACTCTGCAAAGGGGATTTCCGTGTGTGAACAGAGCCTTTGACAGTGAGGTCCGTATTTTCTTTACTGAAGGCAACTTTTAACACTGCAAAGGGTATTTTCTTGGAGGAATGGCTTTGATACTGCTGTCCACATTTTCTTTACTGAAGGCACCTTTTTACACTGCAAGGGGGATTCCTGTGGGTGAACAGCGCTTTGTACCGTGCTGTCCGTATTTCCTTTGGGGGAATGGACTCATGTGGGTGATGTTCCTGGGGATTGGCTGAGGTTTCAGTTAAGCATTTTGGAGCACAGTATGGAGTTTTGCTGGGCCTCCCTAGACTCATGGCACTGTGTAAGACACCTCTGATTTCCTCCAGGAATGTGCATCTGTGCCCTGAGATCCAGTGGGCTGGTTGTGGGGTGATTTTTGAGAAAACTTGGTTTCCGAGCACCCTGCACCCCTAACTCCTGTCATCCTGCTGCAGCGGGAGTTCTTTGTGTCTTATATAAAAGTTGCTGCTACACAGCTCTGACCTGAAGGTTTTTGGTGCGCTATTCTCCTGTTTTTGTTGTTGTTGTTGTTGTTGTTGTATTTCAATGGGTGTTAAGGACCTTTGGACGCTGAGGTTATTAGTGCGGATTAACTCGTTTTTCAGTTAGTAGTTTTTGGAGCACAGCTATTCTGTGCGCTCTGCCGTGACTCACCCCGTAGCAGAGCGTGGGATTTCTCTGGTTTCTCACCAGCCATGCCTCTAGGGGGCGCAGCCCTAGAGGGGGTGCCTGGGAGCTGATCTCAGGGAGGACCAGGGCTCGACCTCTCCCTCCAGCGCTAACTGGTCTCTCCCCGCTCTGCACAGTTACTTCTTCGTGTGCTTTGCTACTGGTTCTCCCTCCCTGTCCTGTCCTACTACTGATTGCTCCGTGGTCTCACTCCATCACTCCGTATTTCTTTCTGGTCTACACATCAGCTCGAGTTCGGTAGCTGTGGGTAATTCCGTTTTGAAAAACACGGTATTTCTTTCTTTGTTTTTTTTTCTTTTTCTTTTTTTTTCCCCCGTCAGGCTTGAATCCATCCACCGCGGTCGAGAGCATAAATAGCGAGGCTGCTGGTCCCTCTGCAGGCTTTGTGTCCTGCATCAGCTCCGACGCTTGCGTCCTCCCGGTCCCACGTCTTCGCCATGGAGCAGCACTTTCTCGCAGTCGGGAAGCCGGCTTGGGACGCCTACGACTGGGCGCCACGGCCCCAGCCTGCGTGGTTGCTGGTGTCAGAAGGCTCCGGGCCGGGGCCGCTCCCCCTGTACCCGGCACTGGGAGAGTCCGCAGACCACCGCGACGCTTTGGACAGGCAACTGCTTTCCAGTGCTTGCTGGCGGCTGCCCTTCATCCATGAAGGGTACACCCTCCTCAGCCGGGCCCAGAGCCCCTGGGAGGCAAGGCCACTGCAGCCCAGTCTGGGCCCCGCGCCAGACACTGCAGAGACGCCGGAGACGCCACAGACACCAGAGACTCCGGAGACGCCAGACAGCCCACCGGAACCCGCCCGAGAGCCTGAGCCGAGAAAGGAAACCGAGTCCCAGAGGCTGTCCCAGGCCGAGTGGCCCAGCGTCGGAGTCGGCCTGCAGACGGAGGAGAAGTGTGAAGACGGGGGCCCTGCAGAGCGCCGCCCCGCGAGGGCTCCAGGGGGATGGGGCCGGCGCCCGGGTTTCTGCGGCTGCCTGCGGTGGGTCCGGCGCGCTGTGTGCACCCTGAGGCGCGCCGCTGCCGGCTGCTGCGGGACCTTCTGGGACGTGAAAGAGCCCTGAGACTGCGGCGGGAGGGAGCCTGGGGGACGTGCGGGGGGAGGGGCGGGGGAAGGGTCTCCCTTTGCAATAAAAGTGCCTGCTGTGCCTCGGTGTCCCCTGTCAGTGATTGCCCCTTTCTCCCTGCAGCCGGGTCGCTGCCGTTGCCTCGCCCCTCCTGCCTCTCCACTTCTTTCTCTTACTTACAGCCTTTCCCTCCCACTGTGTCTTACTGGCTCTCACTGACTGCCGGCTGCTCGTGCTAACCGACACCGTGACTTACAGACTTTTACTCCGGGACGGCACTCGTTCCACGGGCAACGGCACAGCGGGGTGACTGTGCTCACACTAGGCTCCTTGTAACCGATTTCCTTTGGTGATCGGAGGTATCGACAGTGTCATTCCTATTTCCTTCAGTGAACACAACTTTTGACACTGCGACGAGTATTTCCAGGGGTGAACGGTGTTTTTGCACCGTGTCCTCCGTGGTTCTTTTAGTGAAGAGAGCAACTCTGACAGTGCCGTTCACATTTCCCGAGGTGAACGGTGTTTTTTCATGGTGTCCCCCATATTTCTTGTGGTGAATTGAGCTACCGAGAGTGCCGGTCACATTTGACATGCTGAACGGGTTTTTTTTCATCCTGTCACCATATTTGTAGTAGGGAACAGAGCTTTTTGGAATGCCGATCGTATTTCTTGATGTGAAAGGTGTTTTTTTGACAGTGTCGTCCATATTTCTTGGGGTGGAAGGAGCTTCTGAGAGTGCCGTTCACATTTCCTTTGGGGAAGGGAGCTCGTGCCGGTGGTGTTACTGCGGACTCACTGAGGTTTCAGTGACGGTGTCTGGAGCACCGTTTGCATTTTGCCTGCGCTTTCCCTGGACCCGTGGCACAGTGTAAGACGTCTCCGTTTTTTTCTCCAGGAATGTGACTCTGGGCCCTGAGACCCAGTGGGTTGGGTGTGGGGGGATTTTAGAGACAAGCTGGTGTCGGAGCGCCCTGCACCCCTAACTTCTGTCCCCCTGCTGCAGTGGGAGTTCTTTGTCCCTTATACAAAAAGTTCCTGCTACACAGCTCTGGCATGGAGGTGTTTGGTGCACTCTGCTCTCCTATTTGTATTTCAGTGGGTGTGAAGGACCTGTGGACGCTGAGGTTATTAGTGCGGATTAACTCGGCTTTCAGTTAGCAGTTTTGGAGCACAGCTGTGCTGTGCGCTGTGCCATCCATCACCCCGTTGTTGCAGAGCGTGGGATTTCTCTGGTGTCTCTCTAGCCATGCCTCTTGGGGGCGCAACGCTAGAGGGAGTGTGTGGGCCCTGATGTCAGGGAGGACCGTGGGCTCGTCGTCACCCTCCAGCGCTAACGGGTCTGTCCCCGCTCTGCACAGTTACTTCTTCCTGCGCTTTGCTACTGGTTCTCCCTCCCTGTCCTGTGTTACTGATTGGTCCGTGGGGTCCCGCCACCGTTCCGTATTTCTTTCCTCTCTGCACAGCAAGTTGCGTTTGTTAGCTGTGGGTAATTCCGTTTTCAAAAGGCCGGTTCGTTGTTTTTTTTCTTCCTTTTTTTTTTTTTTTTTGTCATCAGGCTTGAATCCACCCACCTCGGAGGAGAGCATAAATAGCGAGGCTGCTGGTCCCTCTGCAGACTTTGTCTCCTGCATCAGTTCCAACACTGGCGTCCTCCCAGTCCGACGTCTTCGCCATGGAGCAGCACTTTCTCGAAGTCGTGAAGCCTGCCTGGAACGCCTACGACTGGGCGCCACGGCCCTACCTCCGTGGTTGGTGGTGTCAGAAGACTGCGGGGGCCCGGGTCCACTTCCCCTGTACCCAGCACTGGGAGAGTCCACAGACCACCGCGACCCTTACGACGGGCAACTGCTTTCCAGTCCTTGCTGGCGGCTGCCCTCCATTTACGAAAGGTACACACTCCTCAGTGGGCCCAGAGCCCCTGGGAGGCCAGCCCAGTAGCCCAGTCTGGGCCCCTGGCCAGAGACGCCAGACACTGTCAGAGACGCCAGAGACGCTGGAGACCTCATGGAAACCCACCGGAGAGGTTGGGCTAACAAAGGAACAGGCATCCAGTGGCTTTCCCAGGCCCTGCGGCCCAGTTCTATACATGGAGTGCAGAACGTTAAGTATGAAAACTTGCTGCACATAGAGCGTTGCTCACTGCAGGACCCCCTTGATGGTGGGGGCACCATCCAACGGGGCCCCGACGTGGGGGAGGCACTCTGAAGTTTGCATGTGGTCACAGGTCTCTAGGGTCTCTGGTCCCTCTGTGTCGTCAGGCGGCAGAGTGACTAGAAGCTGCTTAGATGGACTTTCCTTTGGGGGCTCAGGAGCTCTGGCAAGTGCTGGGGGCTCCTCTGTGTCTCTGTCTGGACACCTGGACTGGGCTGCGCTGCTCTTGACTCCCAGGGGCTCTGGGCTTTTTTCAGAGTCTGTGCTGCTAACAGACCAAGGTCAGCCACCAACAGGGACTGGAAAGCTTGTCCTAAATACTGGGGTGGCCAGAGGGCACTCCCCCTGCCCTGTAGAGGGGCATTGGCCACCGCCCCGAGTCTTCTGAGGCCAGCATCCACAGGGGCTGGGGCTGCAGCTGCCAGCCTGCGGACTCCCAAGCCAGCTTCACAGCATCCAGAAAGGGCTGCTCCGTCGCGGATACCGCAGACCAGGAGGACACAAGCTCCCTAGGTGATGCAGGAACCAAAGCCTGCAGCGCTGCCAGCAGCCTGGGAGTTTATGCTCTCCTGGGTGGTGGGCGGATGCCAGCCTGATATATCGAAAGAACCAAGGAATTCATAACAGACCCAGGCACCACTAACAAAGTCGACAAAATCAACACACACGAAGAAACACGAAGGAACATTCTGGAGAGCGAAGGGCAGACAACAAGCACACGGAGAACACAGCACAGCCAGACCCGGGAAGAACCTAGACAGCAAAGCCCCCAGTAGGGGGAGGGCAGGCAGCTGCAGGGGAAGGCGAGGAAACCACAGTCCCTGAAGTCAGCCTGCACTCACCACCCTCTAGGCTGATGAGCCCAGAGCAAAACTGCTGATGAGAAACGGAGAAGCAGCGGAGCTGATCAGGGCGTATGATGCCCGAGAAAATGCAGCCAGGCACTTGCTCCAGAAGTCGGAGGACACCACGCAATCATCCCACGGAAACACCGCAGGAGAAGCAACAGCAAAGTCGGGAGAACAAGGCAGTGCCCTGGAGAACAGGCAATGGGGCTGGAAGGCCAAGGAACAAGGGGTCCCTGACGTCACCCTGCAGTCCAGGTCCTCCGGGAGTCTGAGGTCCTGTGCGCTCCGGGGCACCAGAACCGTTACCCACAGGCGAGGGGGGTTCACCAGGACTCTTCTCCGCTGCCCACAGCCTTGACAGGATGTTTGCAGCTCCTGCTTGAGGGGAAGACGGTCTGAAACCAGCAGGACCCACAGCTTTTGAAGAGGAGAAAAAGGAAGCGCGGTGACCTTTACAGCGATTGGTTATCGCAGCTGAGGTTTGCAGAAGTCGGAGGATTGGCTGAAAGCCACGGCCTCAGTCCATATTGGGAAGATGGCAGAATTTCGTTTCCGATATTCCAAGTCATTTACACGAAATAAGTTTGCGGGATGTTGTGAAATATCCGCCAGGGCGATTCCCCAGCCTGGTCCACATTTTGTGTTATTGTCAGTCCTGGGAGCCCGGGCTTTCGCAATAGCGCCGCTCCAGTCCGCGTCCGCAATTTCTGGGAGACAGCACCCTCTTCCGAGCCGAGACCGATTTTGCTTTGTCCGCCCCCCGCCCCCGCCCCGCCCCGCCCCGCCCCGCTGCGTGCTCCTTGCGTGGTCCCTGCACGGTCAGATGCGTCGCGTCCCGGGCCTCTTCTAGGTCCCCGCGGCGCCGGCGCCTTTTCAGCCCAGTTTTGGGGCACAACCCATCTCGCTCCGGGTTACTCCGATGGTTTCTCCCGGTAGCCCCGGGGGTGGCGGCCATCCTGGTGGGTCTCCGTGGTCACCCCGCTCTCCGTCTTCCCCTGCCCCGCAGGCTGGGGCAGGTTGGGGCCCGCTGGGGCGCCCCGGGCAGGAGCCGGATCCCGCGGGCAGGCTGCGCTCTGGCCCTGCTTCTCCTCTCCCTCCCGGGCCGCCCGGCCCGCGGGGCGGCGCTGTGAGCGCGGCAGACGCCACTCAGCGGCGGGGGAGGTTTGTCCCCGCTGGGAGTCCGGGTGAGGCGGCCCCAGGCGCTGGTTTGTGGGTGGCAGCGAGACCCTGGCAGTGCAGCCTGCAAAGGCGTTTGCTGTCTATTCCCCCCAGACGGCGTTTCCCTCGAATGGTTTGCTCCTCAGGGGTCAAGTCAGGTCAGGGAGGCTCAGGGGGCTTCCTGAGCTAAGGAATGGGTGAGCGTCCTGGGGCTTCCAAGGGGAGGGGGCGGGGGTTCCCGGGTCAGTGAGTGGTTTGCCCTGCCGTGCAGAGAGAGAAGGTGGACCTGGTAAGTACCCCGAACCAGGCCCTTTAACGCTTTTAGGTAGCTGAGGGAGACGCCTAAGTTTTTCTTCAGTCTGCTGGGCTTTGACGCCTTCAGCTCAAAACAGGCCAAGGTGGCACATTTCGCAGAGGCTACTTCTGAACTCCCTCACTACCGGGAGAGAAGACAAATGTGATAGAATTAAATAGTTCTGAAAATGAGCCCTGTCTGGTGTGGCTCAGTGGATGTAATGCTTGCCTGTGAACCAAAGGGTCAGCAACACAATTCCCAGTCAGGGCACATGCTTGGGTTGCAGGCCAGGTCCCCATTAGGGGGCGTGTGAGAGGCAACCACACATTGATATTTCTCTCCCCTTTCTCCTTCTCTTCCCCCTCTCTAGAAATGAATAAATAAAATATTGTTAAAAATAGTTAGCAAAATTACCTGTAAACTCTGTTATTTTCAAGCGGTAAACAGAAAAATAAATTAGGGGCTGAAAATAAGGAGTGGACAAAATATACCTACATTTAATTAATTCTAAGAGTTATCTCCTTTTCTCAAATCCTCATCTTTGA